CTCTAAAATCCATACCAAGACAGTGGGACAAGGGCAGATGCAGCGGGAGGGAAAGGATCTGGGAATTCTGCTAGAGGACGCATAGGTATTGAGGCTTCAATAGAAATCCAGTCATCAAATACCAATTTGTAGTCTCTTTTAATTTCAGCATCATCATCCACCGTTGCCCCATTCCATATGACCTTCCCAATTTTCCTTCCCTGGTTTCCGCCCAGCCAATTACGACTGAATTTTCAAAAACGTCTTTGGATTTCTGATATGTCTGAGAGAAATTGAACTTTTTCTTTTGTTTGAGACCATTTTGTTAAAATGTCTTTTTGAATTTGCTGTTTGATAGTCTTTGTTAAGTCCGGCCCATCTAGTCTAGCACCTTCCCATTCCTGCTCTCAAACCTTTCATCATTTTTCAAATTCTTTCAATTCACCTTCACTAACTACCTACCACTATTCCTAAGGCTTATACAGGGCACCCCTGCGAACACAGATTTGTTGTCTCCCTTCCAGCCATCAGAGGGGGTGCATGTTGCCCCCCGCCCCAACCATAGTGGTCAAGGATGGGGTGGGGCCACCGGTGGGGGTCCGGCTAACGCAAATACCGACTATTTTGCCAGTAGCTGCGCCTCCCTTTTCATCTTCCCCCACCCCCAACCGAATATCAGCAGTGTCTAAGGCCAACGGCAACAACAACCGCCAGAATTGATATTTTCATCTTTCTTTCTTCAACTGTATTGCTACCATTTGTTTTTTTTGGATTTTCTTTCTTTCCTTAGTACAGGCAGTACAGGTGGTACAGGTAGAACAGGTAGTACAGAGTCTACAGAAAAAAGCTTTATGTTTTACCCTTAAAAAAAAAAAAAAAAAAAAAAAAAAAAAAAAAAAAAAAGATTTAGCAAATGGAAACGGGAAGTGGTATAAACAATGCGGTGAAGTAGTGTGCATGGGGAGTAGGATGGGGTATAGGAGATTGTTGGGTACATCACACGAGGTGGACCCTCTGACCTGGGGCCAAGTCCCACTAGCAGCCTTGAGCTACCTCAACGCCTGAATCTGGACGTGTTTGTGGAGAAGTGCAGTTCAGGAAACTCAACACCAGTTCTACACATCTCGGCAAAAGGGTCTAGATTCAGGCGTTGAGGTAGCTCAACGCTGCTAGTGGGACTTGGCCCCTGGGCCGATGATGCCTCGTTCAGAGGTCTCACCTTTCTCTTTTGTGAGGGACGCCGGGCCGGGTTCTAGGCGTTGTAAAAACAAAAAAAAAAAAAAAAAAAAAAAAAAAAAAAAAAAAAAAAAAAAAACACTATCCCACACACCGCGCGCAACCCAGTCACACTCACCCGTGTTGGCCAAGGACCCTACTAATAGGGTCCTTGGCCAAGGTCTTCTTTCTCTCGGCCCCTTTTTGTTTTCCTTTCTTTGGGGGGGGGGGGAGGTGGGGTACCCCGTATCACTTCCCCAGCGAGGGCAAAAGCCAGAGATCCTTTACGGATTGGCCAGGAGATATGGCAGTGCTTCCACGAATTGTCTTCATCCTGAAACGGACGCTGATGTGGCAACGACCTACTGCATGCCCCGGAGCTCTCCATCCGCAGTTTATCCGATCTTTTTTTGTGTGTTTTTCAATCCAGTCCGGATACGCGCACAAACGACAAAGAGATTTTTTTAAATATTTTATTTTTTTTCTCTTTATCGTTTGTGCGCGTATCCCCGCCGGAAATAAATAAATAAATAAAAATTCAAGAAAGGAAAAAGAATTCGCTGGAGATGCCGAGTGGCGGCCGCTAGCAACTTGCTGAAATGTCCGTCCTTTGGCCCCTCCCTCCCCAAGCCTGCCCAATTGCCACTTTTCGGATCGTGCCAAACTTATGGCATGCTCACACTACGACTTTAGTCAACGTACTTGACCGCAATGATGGTCAAATTCACTCCAGGTGCTCCCTCCAGTCCTGCCTTGCTCCGCTGTTTTCAGACATGCTACAGTTTTAAATGACGACCCTGCCCCTGTTATGTCCTCTTCTCCCTCTCTGCCTACGGTTTACCGTGCAGTTTTTTTTGTTTTTTTTTTTTTGTTTTTTTTTACCGTGCGGTTCTGTTTCCGTTTGGCTTTAAATTTATATGTATTTATATATATTTATATATATAGTGTAAACAATATTTGAAAAACAAAACTTATGTCTCTGCCTACCATTTACCGGGCAGCTCTGTTTGACAATATATCTATTTGACGATATATATAGATATATCATATATATATATATCGTAATTAAAATTTATAAATATATATTCCGGATTATCGGATTGGGTTTGGGGAGGTGGGTTCGCTGGCGAGGAAGGAGAGTTTGAGAAACCAGACCGTAAGGAGGAGGAAGGGGGGGGAAAGGGGGAACGTAGAGAGCGCATTTAGGACGTGCGGGAGACGATCCGAAGTGACCGCAGTTCTGGCCCGTCGTATCGTCTCTGGCCACCGCCTCGCCCGCTTGCTTCTCTACCTCCTCCTGTTCTCTCTCTCCTTGGCCAGCAGGTGAGCAAGCGAGCAAGCAAGCAACCGAGGCAGCGATGGCGGCGACGACGACATTCCTTGGTACGACCACGCAGCTGGCTGCTTCGTCCTCCACGCAGCTGGCAGCGGGTAATCTCAAGGCCAGCCCGTCCAAGGGGAGCACACCCAACAACAACAGGGCGTTCGTCTGCCGCGCGTCGGCTGATGGCGAAGCCACGTCGCGCAGGGAGGCTTTGAGGATGGCCGCGGGTGTCATCGCCGCGGGAGTTTTCGGCCTCGCCGGAAAGGCCAATGCCTCTATTACGGAGGACCTGCTCGCTAAGTCCGCCGCGAATAAGGTTCGTACCCCCCCCCCCCCCCCCCCCCCCCCCCCCTCCCCCCCCCCCCCCCCCCCCCCCCCCTCTCTCTCTCTCTCTCTCTCTCTCTCTCTGTGTGTGTGTGTGTGCGAGTCCGCGTACCGCAGAGGGTGTAGGCACTTGCTGGTCAACGACACAAAGCTGGGCAAGCTGCACTCGAATGAATCCGGAAGACAAACGGAAGAAATGTGTTCTTGAGACCCTTGATGAAATTCAGAGCATGATGGGGGCATGAGTGGTCGAGAATTTTCCCCAAAATACACACCCCCCCCACACCCACACTCACACACATACCCTTCCTGTGCATATATATAGCGCGATAGTAACCATACTCTGATCATTGAGGCCATTGAGACGAGTGGTCGTCCACGATGGCCCTCGCGTTGGTGGGTGCATAGGCACCACCCTCAGGCCATCCTCATACGAGAACTCTCTGTACCGAATACCGCCGCCGTAGTTGCAGCCAGATACGCGTTGGAAACTCCTCTAAAGTGGTGTAACATTAGAAAAACAGAACCCTTCCAGTCTCTTCGTCTTCGCAGTCTGGAAGGGGCCTCTAGTCTGTTTTTTCTTTTTTTGGTTTTGAAATTCTTGGAGCGTGGACCACCATGACCTTATTGCGCCCACCAGGATTCGAACACTTGTCAGTTTATTACGAACATCAGTCGCATGTGTGTGACGTTCCGTAAGCCACAAGGCAGAAGCTGGCAGGGACATGGTTCCCCCATGGGTTTCTTGTTTGTTTTCCTCCTTTCCCCTCCCCCCCCCTTGGGCCCCTTCCCCTTGGACATCTTCTTCTTTCGATAGACAGAAGCTTTAAGCAATCGCTTTGGTTTCCCCTCGTTCTAGTGTCGCTTTGTCGTTCTAGTGTCGTTTGTAAGCCCTAGAAAGGCCCACGTAGAGATTGGGTCCCTGCCGGGCCCACCCCTGTCCCCCACCAGAGCTCTGCAGTCTGCACCTCCCAACTAACCCCTCCACCAGTTTGGCACGAAGCCGAGGATTGGCCTGACCGGAGGGGAGGATGAGGTGCAAGGGGGCAAGTGGGCTAGGGGGGGGGAGGGAGGAGGGGAAGGGGGGAGGGGAAGGGGGAAGGGCAAGGCAGCTTCCCACACCCCAGAGATCGATAATTTACTTGTCAATCATCGTTTCCGAAGGGCGATGACATTGACAATGCATGGAAACAATGTGAAAGCATACTCACACTACAGGACTTTCCAGGATGTCTCTGACCGAAATTGCGGCTTCTCCCGCGGCTGCATCTGGTGCCACTGGTGTGAGTATGCCCTTAGTGGTTATTGACGCCTCCTTCCTCTCAAAAGATGCAATCAATGGATAGGAGATTAGATTGCAGTGGCTCTCGTCTTCTTCTCTTGTGCTACAAGAATAGCGTGCATGCGGCACGTCATGCGTGCGTATTAAGTATTTACCAAAAGGTTGTGTGCATGCATAGATTGATTTGTTTTAGTCGCACCCATGCGCATGATTTGACATGTAGTAGAAGTGTTTGGGGAGTACAATGCTTTTGACGTCAACTAGATGTTTTTCGCACTGTACAGTGCTGCTGCTCTCAACCAAAGGGTTGTGTGCGTGGAGCTCTGCACACACGTATCAGGAGAAGCAGCATTCCCGAGGGGAAAGGAACAGGAAAAAGAAGATCATGACTATCAAAGAAAAAAAAAGGAGAGAAGCAGCATTCCCGAAGTTTCCACGGTCTTCCATTTGGGCAACAACTGGGTCAACATTATAGAGAACAGGAAAAAAAAAAAAAAAAAAAAACCGACAAGCTTAGTAAAATGTCCACGATGAGAGTTTGTGCGTGCTCACGTGCTTGCGAACGTACGTGCACACGTGTGCTTTATACGTACATGCACACGCATGGTTCACACATACACGCGCACGTATGTGACTCAGACGTAAAAATAAACAAATCAGTGAATTCAAAAAGATTCATACGTACACGCGCACGTACGATTCATACGTATGTGCGCTCGTACGTGCATCTCCGAACCAGAAGCAATTCTACGGCCAGGTGCATGACTTGCACGAGCGGTTCGAATCAAAATTTGCACGTCATGCAGCTGTACGTGCTTCACGAGCAAGCGAGCGAGTGTTCGGTGCTCATTAAATGCCACATGCATGCGTAATGATGCGTTGTGCATGAAATCTCACGCGGACGCACGCGGCGTGACCAGTGGGTTCATCGCCGTAAGTAAGCGATGGACTCGTCCGTCGGCACTACGCCAGCAACGCCTGCGACTGCATGTGCGTCGCTCTTTCTACGTACGACCATGCAGCACGTACTCCAATCTACGTACAACCATGCATAAGCGTCGTTCTTTCTACGTACGAACCATTCAGCACGTACTCCAATCTACGTATAACCATGCATGCGCGTCGTTCTCTCTACGAAACTACCATGCAATGCATGTGCGTCGTTCTTTCTACGTACGACGATGCATGTCCGTCGTTCTTTCGACGTGCGTATGGCCGTCATGCTGGTGGACTTCATTGGTATGCCTTCTTGCCATACCGGACGTGCCTTAAAACTCTACGTAGCTACAGCCTGCATGCTGCATGCATGCATAGTCGTGCTGTAGCCGCGTGCATGCGGCCAATTACAACAGTTCCCAGTGTTCCCCCCAATAGAACGTGCTGTCGTAATGGTTGCATCTGACTTGAAGACAATGCTCAATGCGAATAAAATCACCTTCCGTGGTAAAGCGAGTCCGCGCATGCGGCTATCATTATGTAATCCGGGAAACAAAGTACGTGATACGCAAATGAAGAATCATATGATACAGGGGCAAAAAAAATTGACGGCTGTCAGAACTAAATTCGACACTCCACTATCGAAAGGCAAAAAAAATCGACGGCTGTCAGAACTAAATTCGACAGCCTCCTTTGGACATTTTGGCCCCCTTCAGCCACACAGCAGTGACACCACTGCACTGTAGAATGGACGCACTTGTGAATGCAAGATGGAAAAAAGACGAACGCGCCTGAGGGTACGACAATCATTATTCTGTTAGTCCATCCCGCCCTCACGCCCACTCACCACATTTCGACGAGGAAGTGACAAAGATGAAAGGAAAAAAAAATTGTTTAACTGCTGGTACACCACTTATTTGTTCAATGGCGCGGCCGAGGACTGTTGAAAGCATCGGATTGTTAAAATAAAAAAAAATAGAATAAAAAAAAAAACGGAGAAAAAAAAAAAAAAAAAAAAAAAAAAAAAAAAAAAAAAAAAAAAAAAAAAAAAAAAAAAAAAAAAAACAAAAAAGCATCGGAGTAACAGTGACAGGCTGGGCCCCGAATACAACGTACGGTCATTCTAGCTGTATTTGAGGTCTCTTTCAGTCTAGATACAGCTATAATGACCGTACGTTGTATTCGGGGGAAGAAGGTAGGAGAGGCATTCTCTGACATCTTGCGAATTTTCTTCCGGCCTTCAGTTTTTTCGGCACTGTCAGGCTGCATGGGCAAGAGAAACTATCGAAAACCGTGTTTGGACAGTGGTGTGGCGAGCCCCACAGTCGCCGGAAAAAAAAAAAAAAAAAAAAAAAAGTACGTAGGTACGAACGCACATGCACACTTCCCCGCGTCCTCTGTTCGCCGATGTGGTCGCCGTACAAACAAGATGGTTTTTTTGTTTGTTTGTTTTTTTCTCTCTTCCTTGCGCAGGGGCCCTGCTAATCTTCTCGGTATCCGTTCCAATTTTAACGGATGTCCCGAAGGACCAAACACGCCGTTCTAAACACGACGTTGACGTGTCAGTCTGACTCAGTCATACTGTGTGGCAAAAAGAGATACGTGCATGTGGGCTATATACACGCATACGGCTCACATGACCATGTGAGAGTACTCCCTGTCCGTCTATGGTATAGAAACTCTCGTAGATGCTGCCAGTCCCCGCGTAGGCCGGCAGTCGTAGAGCCTCATCGTCTTTTTCCTCTTTTTAAAAAGCTATATTCTTCTCTCATCTATCTCATTTTTCTTTGTTAGTACTCATCTATCTCATCCTCTCACTACAGTCTTCCCCCGAATACAACGTGCGGTCATTATAGCTGAATTTAGACCGAGAGATACGCCAAATTCAGCTATAATGACCGCACGTTGTCTTCGGGGGAAGACTGTAGTGTATATGTCGTCTTCAGAAGAAGTGACGTTGTGGATGAAGCTTCTGGGTACCTTTTTGGATAAGCTTGTGTGGATAAAGGGCGTCGCTTCACCGCCATTCACCAAAATTTTATGTGGAAAATGAGAATTTCGATTTAATCTTCCGCATAGGAATCTTACTCTGCCAATTTGAAATTGTTGTCTTTTTTGTGCTTGTTGTTAATGGTATAGCGAGGCCTACATGTTTAGGATAAACCACACCACCGGCCCCCTCTTTTGATAGTACCCCCCGGGGCCAAGTCCCACTAGCAGCGTTGAGCTACCTCAACGCCTGAACGTGGACGCTTTTGCGGAGACTCGGATGTGCAGAAATGGTGTTGAGTTTCCTGAAATGCACGTCTCCACAAACACGTCCAGATTCATGCGTTGAGGTAGCTCAACGCTGCTAGTGGGACTTGGCCCCCGATGAACTGTTGAAACGCTGACCTGACTCCTGAGTTCGAAAACCAGCCGGAACTGGATGAATGGTTTCTTTTTCCCCCCACAAAAAAATGACCTTTTTTTATTGCGGGCCCCAGTGCCCAAGGCAATACATCCGCAAACGCAGGCCGATGTTAAAATTTTCGGATTGGATAGGCTTCTTTTGTGTAATGCTTTGGATAAGTTTGTGGGTAACTTTTTTTTTTTTTTTTTTGGATAACAACAGTTACTCCGGATTTACCCAGGGGCGAATGTCAGACAAGTTAACAACAGTTACTCCGGACTTACCCAGGGCAAGCCAGTTTCAAATTGACGAAGATGATATCTCAAGGCCGTCCTCCTTTCAAAAAAGAAAAAGAAAAGAAAAAGGAGAAATCTTGTACTAGATGAGCTTGTGCTCAAAGTGGAAGTCAGGTGGGGAGCAGTCCCCGCAATGCGGCCATGTTCTCTCTCGTGAAACCACCTAGCACACAGCCCCAGCCCCAGCCCCAGCCTTGCAGTCCGAAACTTGTCGCCCACAACACGGCCAAAAGAAAAAGAAAAGAAAAAGGATAATCTTGTACTAGATGAGCTTGTGCTCAAAGTGGAAGTCAGGCAGGCAGCATCCCCTGCAATGCCATGTTCTCTCTGGTGAAACCACATAGTACACCGCCCCAGCCCCAGCCTTGCCGTGCGAAACGTGTCGCTCACAAGACAACGCTGCCGAAACGTCAAACGCTGAGCTTGCTGAGATAAATTGAATCAGCGGTTAGTAGCCTGTTACCATCTACCATCGCCTTTTTTCGTTTGGTGCTAACTTGCCTTCCAGATTTCGATGTGTCAGCCCCGCAGCCCAGGTGCCCATGTACTGGTGCAGCAGTGCTTGAACACGGTTCTGGCTGCTACGGGGTTCCCTGTATGACTATAATTAGTATCCCTGTATGACTATACTTAGGATCCCGGTATGACTCTAATCACTAGTTACTGTAGTGGTAGGTAGGTAGGTAGACTGCAGTGAAATTGAGAGAACAACGTAGGGGGAAAAAACAGAAAAAAAAAAAAAATCAGAAAAAAAAGAACAAAAAAAAAAGCGAACAGATGGCCATAAAATGAACATGCAAATTCATCATGTATGGAAGGTCTGGTGTGTTTGGAGGCAAGTGGAGCTAGAAGGTCACAAGGATGCTGCAAAGCCAAAATCAGCTACGGATGGAGGGGCCTACCTCCCTACCACCCTCGGTCACGGTACACCCCTGCAATGCTGAAATACGGGCTCAAGTTCCAGGCTTCCAGCCCAGACAGTCCTCTAGATGAACAGGGCAAAATCATTATGAATTGCTCGGGGCGGTCAGTTCAGTGATCATGATATTTCAAGTTAAAGGCCGCCCAACAGCTTTTCCCGCTGTTGGGAAAATGGGGAAATTCAACATAGACTGCTGCTAAAAATCCGAGGACTGGGCCCGACAGCGCCCGCCATTTGCCATTGATAAATCTGATCGGCGGCCATCGTTTTTCTCTTCTGCCTCTGAAACGATTGGGCATCCCACAATGGGACAATGAGGCCAACGTAGTGGTGGTTTTTGTTTTTTTTTTAAGTTGAAAAACATTAAACTTTTTCAGCTGCGGATGTTTCCAAGAGTGTACATGAGCTTGTGTGTGAGCTGGTGCGTGAGCTGGTGCGTGAGCTTGTGGATGAGATGCCACAGTCACTAGTCTGGATTTTTTATTTTTATTTTTTTCTAAATTCTAAGCTAATATTCTTCTCTTATTTTGTCTTTTTCTGATTGTTTGATTTTTTTTTTTTTTTTTTTTTCTGCAGGACTTGAATGACAAGAAGAGGGCCCTCACCAGCTATGCCAATCTGGCACGCGCGTACACTGTGCAGAATGGTTCCTGCGCGTTCCCTGACAATTTCACCGGCTGTCAAGACCTGGCCAAGAGACAGGTAACCTAAATTTCAAATCGATCCGCCTGACCACCTCTCACCTCTTGAATGTACTTTGTATCTGCCCATTCTTCCTTGAAGTTCCACCCCATTCTTCCCGGGCCCGGGCCCGGGCCCGGGCCCGGGTTTCTGATTCCCCCTCAGGGTTGAACCCATGATGATGTCTTTACTAGCAGTTCGTACATGGGTGCAATTCAGCAAAATTGGGCCATTGGGCTAGTACCTGCAGGGGCCCTATTATGGGAGACTTTTCCCATCTTTCGGATTCTTTCCACAATTCCCCGCTGTTGTCGTGCCTGTCTTCCTTGTCCGTCCATCTATATGCCTGGTGTGGCATGTTTCTTTTGGCTTCCTTTTCTTACCTCGACCAGGGGCGAGGCCCCACTAGCAAAGAGGGTTTGATAAATATCCTGAATCTGGTCGTGTTTTAAGCAGAGATGTGGAAAAGCAGTTCAATCTCGACAATCTGCACCTTTCCACAAACAAGTCCAGATTCAGCCTTCAGGTGTTCAATCCAATCCTCTTTGCTAGTGGGACCTCGCCCCAGGACCTGGATCCCACACTACACATCATGTTGTGAAGTTGGTGGCAGCAGGCGACGGATTGGAAGCGGTCGTTGTGCCTCTCAATCGGAGGCCGCGTCGCGTCAGCCCTCGTGACCGGAAGGTCGAGCCAGCAATATGGGAGATTTTCATTGGCGGTCGGGCTGGGGGGAGGGGGGGGGGACCACAGATAACATATATTTTTTTCACATTCTTCTGAGAACTTCTTTTTTTTTTTTATAATAATTTTTATGTTCGCGTTCGGAGGGTTTTGGGCGCTTGTTCGCGTTCGCGAACACGGTGCTACGTAGGTATCAACCAAAAAAAAAGCTTTTCTCTACTACGTTGGGAGTCCTTTTTGGTCATGGAAAGGACCGAAAAATCCCACCCCTCTCGCTCTTTCGCACCTGTCATACAAAGAAAAGAAATATGAGACAATGTTGTGCAGTCCGCATCTTAAACCGCCAGTATCTACCGGCGCTACCGGTCGGTGCGGCCTTTAACGTGGGTACCGCCAAATAGGTCTGCCCTTCGGGTCCATATTCATTCGACCCGGGCGGGTACGAAAAATGTGGTAGGTAATTAAATGGTTTAAGTGACTGAACATGGAAATTACAACATGCCATGTCCTTGTGAC